ACGGTGGGCTCGGCGTGGCCTGGGAGAGTGGGGCCGAGGCGGGCCCCCAGCCTCCCGGGCGCTGGCCCCGCCGTGGCCCGCACGGGCTGGCCCGGCACCGGGAGCAGCGCCGGGCGGCGGGCTGGGTGCGAGCTGGGCTGAGAGCGCCCGAGTTGGAGGCCCCGGGCGAAGCCCGCTCGGGACAGGCATTTCCCGCCGTTGTGATCAGCGCTGCCCGCCCGGGTGGGTGCGCGGGCGCGGGCGCGCCCGGAGTTGCCTTTCTACGGGACGCTGGGCGCCGCGACTTCCCTCAGCCCCGCCGGGGCCCGCGCCGGCCCCGCGCCTCGCGCTGCGGGTGGGCGGCAGCGGGGTGACAGGCGCCCGGGGTCGGCGTTCTGCCCCTGTGTGGGGTATCCGAGCGAGGCGTTGGCGCGGGACCGGCGACCGGAGGCGGTGACGAATCGCCCCGGTCCCCGCCGTGGAGGTTGGAAGTGAGTCCGGAGTTGCTTGTCGGCGGCACAGTTCAGGGAACTCCTTGGAAGCGGCCGGCCGGCTGCGCCTTGCTGGAGAACGTGAGAGTGCCCAGCAGAAGGCTTGCTTCGCTCGCACCTGCACGGAATGGGACCCTCGGCCCGTCGCTCGTGACAGCTTTTCCCGGGGATGGAGGCGAGAGGGGAGCAGGCAACCAAAATATGTTGAGGGAGGCAGAGAGGCGCTTTGAAGGTTGTCTAATCGGGGTTTATTTGGGAGCATGGGCGAATCCTGCATTACCATCTTTTGGTCTGATCTTTAGAGAGACGGTTTTAATAATGTAGCTTAAGAAGATTGAAATTGGAGCAACAAGTAGTTAAGAGAATGTAGGCGTATATGGGAACGGCCGGACTTTGCCTTTTATTGTATTATATGAGCCTGTTTGCATTTTGGTGCTCCTGACTTTTGGCCCAGAGAAAGGACAGTGGCCAGATCTGGATCCAGGGCCATACAGAGAGGAGGTGACAGATACTGGAAAAGGCGGGCTGTGTTGAAGTTCTTGTTCTCTTGACTTTCCTAACAATTACAGAACCAGCATCTCCTCAATCCCAGATGTGCGTTTGCTCTGTGAGTGCGACTGGTATTTAGAACTGATGCGGGAAGCATGACTGCAATGCTTTGTGCCCCAGTGGGCAGTCTTTTGACTTCTTTAGCTTGGGACTGTGGTTAGCCTTTTCATTGGAGTATGCTTGTTTGTTTGCCCGTTGTAAGAGGAGAGTTCCCTGTGTGCTTCCCTGTTGCAGCCGGCTTGAGTCATATGCTGGTGGACAGCCTGACTTTTCCCGGACTCCATCATGGAGTATCCAAGTCTTGGTTTTGTCAAGTCATGATGCTTTGTGAGAGAGCTGGAACTTCTGGTAGTGAGGACCAAATGACCACTACGAACTTGGAGAGGCATTCATTCAGTCTTGGGGGATAGAGCAGTTCTTAGCAGTTGAAGGTGGAGTACATAGAACCAGAGCTCTTTCATAAAACAGCCATCCCTTCTAAGTGTAACTGTTGTGGATCCCTTGATCTTTGATAAGATGGGTTTTCCCCCAGACCTGAAGTTGATTTAAAGGCCTCTGATTTTGCAGTCATGGGTAACTTGATCGTTTGTGTTTAGTTTGGGCAGGCAAATGCACAGGCATGTTTAATATCTCACATATCCGAATGCCTAGCATGGGGCTCAGCACTGTTAGGATGAAGGCTTTGTTTTAATTTTGCTTTAACGGATCGCAACAGACCTTCCCGTGCTTATTGGTAAGGGAATTCTAACTGGCAAAATGAAAAAGCACCAATGAATCAGAGGAGGAATCAAGAGAATTTATTTATAAATCGATTTTATTGATTCTACCTATGCACAGTTACTTCCCTTTTGAGAGTTTTTTCTAAGCACCCTAGAATTTATGTTTTGGTGACTTATGTTTGAGTTTGTAAAGGGTTTCATGTGAATGAAATTTCCCTCAGGCTTCAATTTTCTTTTTTGGGTCAGAATTTTAAGAGTTTGCATTTTCCTCTCCCAGTGAAGCGTGACATTCAGGAGAACGATGAGGAGGCAGTGCAGGTCAAAGAGCAGAGTATCCTGGAACTGGGGTCTCTCCTGGCGAAGACTGGACAAGCTGCAGGTAAGTGCTGAAAATGGATTGCTTTCCCTCTAACTTGAGGTACCAGGTCAAGTTTTGGGAGTTGGAGTAAAGGAATGCAACCACATGTGATTCAATTTTATTTTCTTGGCAACTTGTTGAACTTAAGTTTCTTAGAGAGTTAAGTATCCTTTAGACCAGCGGGTCTCAACCTGTGGGTCGTGACCCCTTTGGGGGTCGAATGACCCTTTCACAGGGTCGCCTGATTCATAACAGCAAAATGACAGTGATGAAGTAGCAATGAAAATAATGGTATGGTTGGGGGGTCACCACAATATGAGGAACTGTATGAAAGGGTCACAGCATCAGGAAGGTTGAGAACCACTGCTTTAGACCCAGTTCTTTTTTCTCCCCTCATTTTCAAAGTTTATTTTCTCTGGTTATAAATTCTAAAATTAGAGTATTTTCCTCTGTCAGTGTTTAAAAAATGCCTTGTTTTGTTTTCTGTGGTGTGGTGGCTAATCACTGGGCTGTTAACTGAAAGGTCGGTGGTTGAAATCCCCCAGTGGCTCAGCAAGAAAAAAGTCCTGATTCTATAAAGATTACAGTTCAGGAAACTCAAAGAGGACAGTTCTCCTCTGTCACACAAGGTTGCTATGAACTGGAGTCAACTAGATGGCACACCATAACGCTGTTTCTGAAGAGATACTGGTCTTCGTGTATGTTTCTTCTCCCCTGTATGTAATGTGTCTTTTTCCCTCTGGTTGCTTTCACGATCTTTTCAGCAGTTTGACTGTGATGTGCTCGGGTGTGGTTTTCTTTTCATTTGTCCTGTTTGGGGCTCACTGAGATTCTTGGGTGTGTTTTTTTCCCAACTGAACTTTGGATGTTTTCCACCCCCCATTCCCCAAGCCCTGCTTTTTTTTGCTTGTCCTTCTGTACTTCTGAATATTATTAGGTGTTATTGAGTTGGTTCCAATTCATAGCAACCCTATGCCCAACAGAAAGAAACACCTCCCAGTCCTGCTCTATGCTCACAGTTGTTGTTCTATTTGAGACCGTGTTGCAGCCATTGTGTCAGTCCATCCTGTTGAGGGTCCTCCTCTTTGCTGAATGTCTACCAAGACTGGCCTCTCCTGGCAGCATGTCCACAGTATAAACTCTTCACTCACTTCCATAGTTTCCATGTTGACTCACAGCGATCAGGTAGGACAGGGTAGACCTGCCTCAGTGGGTTTCTAAGACTATATGGGAGTAGAGAGCCCCGTCTTTCTCCCATGGAGTGGCTGATGGTTTTGAACTGCTGATCTTATAGATCGCAGCCCAACATGGAACCACTATGCTGCCAGGGCTCTTATGTCCACAGTATGGGACACCCAATTCCAAGGAGCATTTTGGCAGCACCACCTCCAAGACAGACTTGCTTGTTCTCCTGGCAATCCATGGTATCTTGAATATTCTTCAGTGACGTAATTTAAAGACATCTTACTTTTTTGATCATCCTTATTAACCATCCAGCTCTCACAGGCGCATGAGCCGATTGAAAATACCATGGCCTGGGTCAGGTGCACCCTGTTCCTCAAAGTGACCTCATCTATGTTCTCTAACACTTTCAAGGGGCCTGTGTAGCAGATTTACCCAATGCAATGTGTTGTTTCATTTTAAAAAATATATTAATTTATTCAGATAGCAATGTGATCACACATGAACCAAGAACACTCAAATAGTAAACTAAATATAAAGAGTTATTAAAGACTAGCCTTCAAACATCATAACCAGTGATACCATGCTTACCTGTGATCTCGCCAGTATGAAACCACATCTACTCCACAGTGATCACCAAACCACTCAGCAGAGCTTCCTTAAAACTGTGTGCTGTTTGAAGTGACAATGTGAGCACTAGTGATTATTTTTTTAAGGCTTCGAATAGCTGTAGGGAGCTCAGCAAGGGTTGGAGGACCCAGCTCCATCGTGGCATAGTGCCAAACTATGGCCAATTGAGGCTTCGGATAAGTCATAGCAGCGTTTCCCATCTCTGGAGCCTTCCCCACCAGGTAATCTGAGCCAAGATTGTAGGGTCTGCTTCGTTTCCTGACTGCGGCTTCCATGAGCATTGGTTGTGGAACCAAGTAAAATGAAATCCTTGACAGTTCAATCTTGTCTCTATGATGATATTGTGAGGATTTTGGTTTTCTTTACTTTGAGTTGTAATCTGTTCTGAAGGCTGCAGTCATTGACCTTTATCAGCTTCAAATTCTCTTGGCTAGACTCATTTGTTTCATGAAAGTGTTTCCTTCTGCAGGTCAGGAACAATCCTTGTTCTCTTGGCAGAGGGTGCTCAGTGATTTGTTTCTGGTTTTGCCTTTTGGGAATCTCACTGTGTTCTCATAGCCAGGTAGCAGTATCCCCTGATTTCATTTAAGGTGGAGAGTGACTTTAGGCATCTGACTTGAAAACGACTAGGGGTTTTGCATCTGTGCAAAGGACAGTGGCTCACTGTCTCTTCTGGTATAGAACGAGTAAACATTAAATGGATAGAGCCTTCCCAGTACTTCATTGGTAGCTAGGAGTTTCTGCATGTTGTTACCCAAATGCTATAGTTGTATTTGAGCCATTGATTGGGTAGGCTAGAGATACTAATTATGATGATGAGGATGTCCTTGCTTTAAGGACAGGGTCTTGTTGACCAGGAAGACCTTTGACCAATAAAGTTTTAATAGTTTTTGTGGAGAAATTGACTTAAACTTACAACAGGTGATTGCTTCATGTTTAAAGAGAATTTAGAGTTTATCTGATTAGACTGGATTAAGGTTTGGTAAGTGACCATAAAAATTACTTCTCCCAAGTTATGTAGCTATCCCAGAGAATGATGGGTACAAGTTAGCAAAACTTGATTGAACTTGAGAACTAAGATCTTTTCCCAATTGAGAGTAATTCACTCAATAGTTTTTAGGCACAATAAATAGAATCTTGAGTAAAGAATAAAATTGGGAGGTTATATTTATATGGAACTTGTATCTTTTTTTTTTTTTTTTTGCTTTTTATTTTTTTTAAATTTTTTAAACATTTTATTAGGGGCTCATACAATTGTTTTTTTTTCTTTTCTTTTTTAAAAAACATTTTATTAGGGGCTCATACAACTGTTATC